CATACACTGGGCCAGATAGATATATTCAGAACATTCCATCCTAAAATCACAATACACAGTCTTTTCAAGTGCAGATGGAACATTCTCCAGAATACATCACATATTAGGCCAAAAAACAAACCTCAACAAATTCCAAAAGACTGAAGTCATACCATGCATCTTTTCTAACTACAACACTATGAAACTAGAAGTCAACCACAAGAAAAAAATCTGGAAAGACCACAAGTACATGGAGGATAAATAACATACTACTAAATAATGAATGGGTTAATCAGGAAATAAAATAAGAAACTTAAAAAGTACATGAAAACAAATGAAAATGAAAATAGTTCAAAATTTTTGGGATGCAGCAAAACAAGTTCTAAGAGTTCTAAGAGAAGTTTATAGCAATACAGGCCTATCTCAACAAGCAAGAAAAATCTCAACCTAACCTTACAATTAAAGGAGTTAGAAAAAGAACAATAAACAAAAACTAAAGTCAGCAGAAGGAAGGAAATAATAAAGAGCAGAAATAAATAATATAGAAACTTAAACAGTAGAAAAGATCAATGAAACCAGCAGCTAGTTCTTTGAAATATCAATAAAACTGATAACCCTTTACCCAGACTTATCAAGAAAACAAGAGAAAGGACCCTAAATAAATAATCACAAATGTGAGAGAAATACAACAAAGAGCACAAAAATACAAGAGAATATTATGAAAAAATATATGCCAACAAATTGGACAACCTAGAAGTAATGGAAAAATTCCTAGAAACATATAACCTACCAAAACTGAAGCAGGACGAAAATTTGAATAGGCCAATTATCAGCAATGAAATTTAATCAGTAATCAAAAAACTTCAAAACAAACAAAAGTCCAGGAATTAACTTCACAGGTGAATTCTACCTATGCCTATTTTTCTCAAACTATTCCAAAAATCAGAAAAGGCAGGAAAACTTCCAAATTCATTCCATGAGGTCATCATTACCCTCATACCAAAAGCAGATAAAGACACAACAAAGAGAACTACAGGCCATTATCTCTTATGACTATAGATGGAAAAATTCTCAACAAGATACTAGCAAACAGAATCCAATAATACATTTAAAAATCATTCACCATAATGAAGTAAGATTTATTCCTGGGTTGCAAGTGTGGTTACATATTTGCAAATCAATCAACATGACAGATCACATCAATAAGAGAAAGGATAAGAACCATATGACCATTTCAGGGTACTGAGTGGCTCAGCTGATTGAGCGTCCAATCAGGTCATGATCTTGCATTTCGAAAATTTGAGGCCCACAAGGGGCTCGCTGCTGTCAACGCCAAGCCTGCTTTGGATCCTCTGCCCACTTCTTCCCCGCAAGCCCCCACCCAGCTCACAAGTTCTCTCTCAAAAATAAACTTTAAAAAATAAAAAGAACCCTATGACCATTTCAATAGATGCAAAAAAGCACTTGACAAACTACAACATCCATTCATGATAAAAAAAACTCTCACCAAGGGTGCCTGGGTGGCTCAGTCAGTTAAGCATTCAACTCTTGATTTTGGCTCAGGTCACAATCTCAGTTTGTGAATTCAAGTCTTGAATCAGGCTCTGTGCTGGCAGCAGAGTCTGCTTGGGATTCTCTCTCTCCTTCTCTCTCTGCCCCTCCCTCACTCTCTAATGCTCTCTCAAAATAAATAAATAAACATTTAAAAAATACCAACAGTTTTTTACAGAACTAGAACAAACAATTCTAAAATCTGTATGGAACCACAAAAGACCCTGAATATCCATAGCAATCTTAATAAAGAAGGGTGAAGCTGGAGGCACCATAATTCTTTACATCAAATTCTATTACAAAGCTGTAGTAATCAAAACAGTATGGTACTGGCATTAAAACAAACACATAAATCAATAGAACAAAATAGAAAATCCAGAAATGAACCTACAACTGAACGGTCAATTAATCTTTGACAAAGCAGGAAAGAATATCCAATGGGAAAAAGACAGTCTCTTCAGCAAATGGTGGTGGGAAAACTGGACAGCAACGTGCGAAAGAATGAAAGTGGACCACTTTCATACAGCATACACAAAAATAAATTCAAAATGGATTAAAGATCTAAATGTGAGACCTGAAACCAAAAAATCCTAGGAAAGAGTACAGGTAGTAATTTCTCTGACATTTGCTGTAGCAATTCTTTTCTAGATAAGTTCCCTGTGGTAAGGGGAACAAAAGCAAAAACAAACTATTGGGACTACATCAAAAAGAAAAACCTGCATAGCAAAGGAAACAATCAACAAAACTAAAGGCAGCCTATGGAATGGGAGAAGATATTTGCAAATGGCATATCTGATAAATGTTAGTCTGCAAAATCTATAAAGAACTTATAAAACTCAACATCCAAAAAACAAATAATAAAATTTAAAAATGGGCAGAACACCTGAACAGACATTTCTCCAAGGACAACATACAGATGACCAAGAGACACATAGAAGGATGCTCATCACCACTTATCATCAGGGAAATGCAAATCAAAACTGCAATGAGGTATCACCTCACATCTGTCAGAATGGCTAAAATCAACAACACAAGAAACAAGTGTTGGCGAAGATGTGGAGAAAAAGGAACCCTCGTGCTCTGTTGGTGGGAATGAAAACTGGTGCAACCACTGTAGAAAAGGTATGGAAGTTCCTCAAATCAGAAATAGAAATAACCATATGATTCAATAATTCCACTACTGGGTATTTACCCAAAGAATACAAAAACACGAATTCAAAGAGATACACGCACTCCTATGTTTATGGCATTATTTACAATAGCCAAGATATAAAAGCAGCCCACGTGTCCACTGATTGTGAATGGATAAAGAAGACATGGTAAGACTCCGGGGTGGGTTGGTCGGTAGAGAGTCCAACTCTTGGTTTCCGGCTCAGGTCATAATCCCAGGGTCATGGGATCCAGTCCTGTGTTGGCTCCATACTGAGCATGGAGCACTTAGGATTCCCTCTCTCTCCCTCTACCCTTCTTCTTCTCTTTCTCTCTCAGAAGAAGAAGAAAAGGAAGAGGAGGAAGAAGAAGGGGGTACGGGAGGGGGAGGAAGCAGAAGAAGGGAGAGGAAGAAGAGGAGAGAAAAAAAAGAAGCAGTAGTAGTAGTATATATACACAATGGAATATTTTCAGCCACTAAAAGAATGAAATCTTGCCATTTCCAAGGACATGGATGGAGCTAGAGAGTATTATGCTAAGCAAAATACCTGAGTCTGAGAAAAACAAATACCATATGATTTTACTAATACAGGGAATTTAAGAAACAAAACAAACAAGCAAAGGGGGAAAAACACAAAGCAAGAAACAGACTATTAACTACACAGAACAAACTGATGGTTATCAGAGGGGAGGTGGGTGGGATGATGCATGAAACAGGGAATTAAGGAGTGCGCTTGTCCTGACAAGCACCCCCGGGTTTTTAAAATAAAAACTTAACAATATGTTCTCAAAGAATTTTCAATTATGAGGAAAGTTACAGTATCACTTAAATGAAAATATGTATGTATATGCACGTATATGAATCTACATGTTTATATGTGTATATAAGTAAAACCAATATCCTCAACATTCAATATAAAATGTCCCATTTGCTATATTAATTTTTTAAAAAGTGAGAGTGCAAGGAAGATATTTTCTAAGAGAAACAGTAGGTTGAGGTTGGTTACTTGATGGTTTCTAGGCATTTGCCAAGAAAGAAAAAAAAATCACGTCCTGAAAAAATAAAGCATTTCAGAAATAAAGAGAAAATACCAAGGCACCTTAAACACCACCATTATTTGCTACTGGAACGGAGAGCTCTCCCGGAGAAGAATCAAGATCGGGAAGGAGACAACAGACAATTCTGGGGGGTCTAGATGACAAGGTCAACTGGCTCCAGTTGCTCCTCCACATCAGAGCTTACAAATCAATCTTAGGGGTCAGATGGAAGAGTCAAGGTCTTTATTGTTAGGCTCACAGCCATCCTGTGCTACCACATATGACCATGTGTGCACAGTCACTAACACAATCTCCCCAAATCCATACAGTCTCATAACCACCACTAGACACAAAGTAACATCTTCAGTCACAAACACCTTCCCTACTCTCCCCACACAGTGCTCCACAGACATAATAGCCCCGGGAGCTCATTCACAAAGCTCTCTCTACACCTGTACAAAAAGTGGAATACAAGGTCACACGGTCACAACCGCATACTCACTACGGGGACACAAAGTCACAGGTAACCGACATCCATACACAGTGTTACACATAGTAACACATTAAAAGTCATACCACGGGGGACTCACAGTAGTATAAGTAGCCAATCCTCATCAGCACACACGGTATCACACACATTCACAATCACACATACACACCTCACTGGGACAGGGGCGGGATTTCACAACCGCCCCTCCTCAGCCCCTTCTGCCCGAACAGACTTAATACTCAGTCTCCCTCTCGACGCCAGGGGCTCTGGGCTTTTTTCAACCTCGGCCTCCTCTGAAACGTGTTAGTAGCCCGGCCGAACCGCTGAGAGACCACGACGAGCATCCACAGCTCAGCTCAAAGCTGCCCGCCTCGCTGTCAAGAGGAGCAGCGGACGCGGCGCCTCCTGGGAAATGTAGTTAAGCGCCGCACTCGCCACGGAGAAGATGGCGCTCGCCTTGCACCCTGCCAAAGAAATCCCCACCCTTACCCACCCTGAGGCATGAATAGCGCCCCAAAATGTTTCGGCGCTCCAGGAGTACGTAGCCTTGCACCTTGGCTCCTGCTTGGGGTAAGCCCGGCATGCCTGAACTGAGTTTATTATAACGCAAGGCACACCACTGCCCGCTCCCAAAGGTAAAGTTAACACAGGTCGAGTATTAAATTGAGTCCTGAAACTCGGTCTACTTACATTCCTCCCCCCACCAGGGAGACACTCCCACAAACTCTGGCGCAGGAAAGAAAGCGAAAAGCTGACTCGAACCACCAAAACTTATGGGAAATGTAGTCCGCAGTCAGAAAAGTAGAGGACCGGCCAATACCGACAGATTCTGTCCGGTACTGAGCCGGGGCTCGACAGAGCCCAGGAGACCTCTGGGAGTGTTAGCCAGCCAAGGAGTGCGCAGGCGCAGACTTTCTGGCTCGCCATAGTCGTCTTTGTCTGCCGGTGAGTTTGGGTTCGGCTTCGCAAAGCGCAGATCTGGGCGTGGGACCTGGTTTTCTGGGCTTAGAATCTGGTCAGGGAGGCTGTAAGGGAGGATTCTTAGAGACTGCGACATGGCTGGAGAGGGTAAAGGGGAGGAATCGCCTTCTATGACGTGCACTGTTCAAAGCCTATGTGGATGGGGGCAGGGGTACGGGAGGAAACTGGGGCGGGACCGCGACGGGTAGGTGACGGGAGTATGAGATTATTGTAAAGGTATCACTGGTGTGAGAACTCTGTGGTTCCAGGTGTGTGAGGATGGATGGCATCGTGAGCTTTATGGGGTCGTAACCTCAACCTCACTTTTCTCGTTTCTAAAATAACTAATAAAGATGCATCTTTCTGGAGCATCCGTTTTTCTGAAAGAAAGGGAAATGGCTAAGACATTGAGAGATAAGTAATTTTTAAAGCGATTTTTATATAAAAGCAGACTCATGATGCAGTTGAAAACAAAATCAGTATTAACAATTTTTTAAAGTAAACATTTCCGGGAAACTTGTTACTGGATGTCTAGACTCCCTGTATATATGGACTTAATTCTTTGGAGGAACTTTGGTAAGGCCGCTTTGAAAAGCCCTGGAGTAAGGAAGAGCTTTAAGAGCTAGTTTCCACGGTGTAGACAGCACAGAATTGGGAAGGATGATGTCCTCTCTTTGGTTCAGAGATATCAGGTAACAGATTTAAGATGCGCTTGTTTCTCAGTGATGTGGCAATGACTCCTAATTTGACCAGGTTTTCCCCAAACCAAAGGCTGGCCATTGTAAATGTAGGGAAACGAATTTTCTTCTATCCAAAACGACACTTCCTTCTAGTTTTGTATCACACTTAACGTTTTTCAATAAAATGAAAAAGTACCATGGTACAAAAATTCATATACACAAATAGCTTTGGTACATATAAAAAATAATCAGTAATCGTTATGAAGATAGAACTTAACAATAGTTCTAGGGATAAACAAGGGATAAACCTAGGGATAAACAAGAAATGTATAAAAATCTATATGACGATTGTTCATAAATGTTAATGAAAGACCCAAAATAACACTTGAACAAATGGAAATACATATCTTAGATTTTAAAAATCTGCAAGCTATTTTGTGAAGAAAGTGTGCCTGTTTGGTGTAATATATTACTTTTTTAGTAAGTAGGAAAAAGAATATGTATTCGTAGGTGTATGAAGAAACTTTTATCTATATGAAGATTATTCTTTAGTGTTAATGAAAGACCTTTTGAAGCTTACACGGCTCAGTCGGTTAAGCGTACAACTTTGGCTCAGGTCATGATCTCACCGTTAGTGGGTTCGAGCCCCATGTTGGGCTCTGTGCTGACAGCTAGCTCAGCGCCTGAAACCTGTCTTCGGATTCTGTGTATCCCTCTCTCTCTGACCCTCCCCTGGTCACGCTGTCTCCTATCTATCTCTCAAAAATGAATAAAACATTTTTAAAAATAAAGAAAAGAAAGGTTGTCAGAGGAGTGAGTTGCAACAGAGCTAGGACAGGGGTAAGAATCACATTTTTGCTTGCCTGTTTTGTATATTTCCATTTTTACCTGGGGTGGAGGGATTAGGTTTCTATGTTCACTCTATTACTTTTCAGATGTTTATCACTGCCTCATTCATAAATGTTTGACTTCTGATATACTACTCAGAATATGTATAATTCCAGTCAAAACCAAGAACTACCCCCCAAAAAAAGCTCCATTAATGACTTAATGTTTCTGTTTGTTCCTTAACTATTAATGTTCCTAAGTTTCTCACTTTGATCATATATATTTTTTAACCTCTAAAGAACAAAATTCCACTGCTATGGCTTCACGTGACATGTGACTAAAAAATGTCCAATTGGCTAATGGACAGCTCCATCTTGAGGCTTCACAGGAACTTGAAACTCTTTGTCCAAAATGTTAATTTTGGTATCTCCTGACTCCTGTGGTTTGCCTTCATCCATTCCCCTTTGCATTACCTGTTTGATCAATTAGTAACACTGTCCAGCCAGATTTTAAGCCTCTTATATCTGAGTAAGGCAAGAGCTTCTGAGTAATTTTGACTTTTATCTGTCACACTCCATTACATATTGGAGGCCTAGATTTCTTTTTTTTTTTTAATTTTTTTTAATTTATTTCTAGGAGAGAGAGAGAGACAGCGTGAGCAGGGGAGGGTCAGAGAGAGAGGGAGATACAGACTCTGAAATAGGCTCCAGGCTCTGAGCTGGCAGTCAGCACAGAGCCCAGCGCAGGGCTCGAACCCCCGAACCGCGAGATCATGACCTAAGTGAAAGTCGGATGCTTAACCGACTAAGCCACCCAGGCGCCCCTCTTTTTTTTTTTTTTTTTTAATGTTTATTTATTTTGAGAGGGGGAGGTAGAGAGGAAGAGTGGAGAGGGGGAGAGAATCCCACGCAGGCTCCATGCTGTCAGCACAGAGCCTATTGTGGGTTTGATCTCACAAACCATGAGATTATGACCTGAGCTGAGATCAAGAGTTGAACACTTAACTGGCTTAACCACCTGAGAAAATGTTTCTCTTGGGGAAAATGATATTCAAAACTGTGACTCTTCAATCAGGAGCAAGGCCACAAATGACACCTGCACAGGTTGTGATTCTGTGGAACTCTGACAACTCAGTTTCGTAATTTCTCTGTACAACCTAAATTCTGAAAATAAGGTTTCCCATTTCTGAAATGTGTGAAGGTTTTAAATGGCATAATGGGTTTAGCTGAAGATGCAAAGTGTAAGTACCCTTTTTCCATGTGCTCATGTGTATGTGTGTGCTCCAGCTTCTAAGCCAAAGGGTCATCATTACTTTGTTCTTTTTCATAGACCAGCTTCCTTGTGTATCCCTAGGAACTGCACTTCCTTTACCCTTCAAAACCATCAAGGGTCCTTTGGTCTCAGCATGAATTATGGGATACTGCTTTGACCCTCAAGAGTAATGTCGCAAGTCCTATGTGTCACTGTTTAAACAAGAAGAGCAATGGATAACTGAGGAAGAAATGTAAAGGAGGTGCTTTCCAGGTAAGAAAGAACCCAAAAGGTATGAATGGGATAAAGGTTCATCACAGTTATTTTTTTATGATATATCGTTTTTTTTTAATGTTTATTTGGTTTTGAGAGAGAGAGCACTGACGAGAGGAAGGGCAGAGAGAGAGAGACTGAGGATCCGAAGCGGCTCCACACGGACAGCAGAGACCTTGATGCAAGGCTCGAACTCAAATCAGAGATCATGACCTAAGCCAAAGTCAGATGTTTGCCAACTGAGCCACCCAGGAGCCTCTCTTATAGGTATTTGACCTGCAACCTCTGAAAAAATTTTTGAGGCAGTTTTTTTTTTTTTTTTTTTTAACAGCCCATGGGAGTAACAGTTGTTGGGAATTCTTTAGATACCTAAATAACATTTCCAGATTCTCTTGCTTGATCAGTGCTCTTTTTTTCTCAGATTCTGGGGGACTGGTTGCCCCTGTAACCTCTATTCTGGATGCCAGCCTTTTCAATTGTAGTCTCAATTTTATAAATTTTCTAGCCTAAATATTGTGTTCTCCCTTTCACGAAAAGTTTCCATTTTTCACTTCCCCCCTATTTGTCTAGACTCCTTCTCTTAAGCATTCAGTCATCTTACCAAGGATTATAGATCTGTAATCTTTCAAATCCTAGCATGTAGATTCTTTTCTAGAAATTTAACTCTCATTCATTTCTCCCCACTTACATCTTAGAGTTGAATGTCACCCCTTATCTTTATTTCCTGTTCTTTTCCACCTCCAACTATCATAGCACAACATTTCTCCCTCTCTTGCTTTTTAACAATATAGCAGACTTGGAAATTAGTGCTGACTTCCTACTAGTTCACCTGTTACTTTTAAGAAAAATAATACTATTGGGACACCTGGGTGGCTCAGTTGGTTAAGCGCCCGACATCTCTCAGGTCATGATCTCACAATTCGTGAGTTCAAGCCCTGTGTCAGGCTCTGTGCTGACAACTTGGAACCTGGGGCCTGCTTCAGATTCTGTGTCTCCCTCTCTCTCTGCCCCTCACCCGCTCATGCTCTGTCTCTCTCTCAAAAATAAGTAAACATTAAAAATAATTTTTAAAAAATACTATTATCTTTAAAATCCAAAACATCTACTTAATTGAAAATTAAGGGGTGCCTCTGTGGCTCATTCGTTTAAGCGTCTGACTCTTGGTTTCAGCTCAGGTCATGATGTCACAGTTTGTGAGTTCAAGCCCCACATCAGGCTCTGTGCTGACAGCTTGAAGCCTGCTTGGGATTCTTTCTCTCTTGCTCTCTCTGCCCCTTCCCCACTTGCACACAGACACACTCTCTCTCTCTCTCAAAAATAAATAAACAACAAATTTTTTTAAGAAAATTAAAACAATGGGTATGTCTTCTCAATCCTGGCCCTCAGTTCTCCATTTCTGTCCCCCAGAAGCAGCCACTATTAACTGTGCTTCTAAATGTTTTTATGAGCACACACAGAGGCTTTAATAATGACATGATTTGACTATGACAAGAATACTGTTGTTGCTATGTTGAGAGGAGTTATGTAAAGAGTCAAAGGCAAAAGTAGGAAGAATACTGAGGAGCCTATTAAATAATACAGGGAAAACATAATGTGGCTTAGACTTTGGTGGCCCTGGTGAGAATTATGAGAAATGACCAGATGCTGACTGTATTTTGAAGATAAAGCCAAGAGGATGTGGAAATATACTGGGTGTGTGACCTAGGAGAAAGTTGTTCTAGGCTTGAGCAACTGGGAAAATAGGTTGTTATTTAACAAGATGAGAAGAATTTGGGAGTTGGTTTGGGAGAACAAGGGTTTGGTTTGGGGCAGGGTAAATCAGGTCCCTATTAGACATCTGAGTGCAGATTTTGAGTAGCAAGTGGATATGCGAGTCAGTTGAGGAAAGAGGTCCAGACTAGTGATTAAATATTTTCAAAATATATATCAAAATGCCCAAATGTCAACCAAACTCTTAACTGTATTCTGTGAAAATGGTGACCTGTTAGATAAGGAGTTGGCAACTATACCCTACTATGTATTTTCGTAAAGAGTTTTACTGAAACATGGCCATGTTCAGTGAGTGCTTCTTGTCTATTCATTTTCTTATTGTCTGTGATTACTTTTATGCTACAATGCCTGAGTTGAGTAGATATCTGCTAAAAAGTTTATCAATCATGGTAAGGCTAAGTGACTGTAATAAACCCCAAAATGTACTGGTTTAAGAAATACAAGAATTGAGGAGCGCCTGGATGGCTCAGTCGGTTAAGTGTCTGACTTCTGCTCAGGTCATGATCTCACGGTTCGTGGGTTTGAGCCCTGCATCGGGCTCCGTGCTGACAACTAGCTCAGAGCCCGGAGACTGTTTCAGATTCTGTATCTCCCTCTCTCTGACTCTCCCCTGCTCTCTCTCTTGCTCTCGCTCTCTCTCTCTCAGAAATAAATTAAACACTAAAGAAATAAAAGAATTGATTTCTTGGTTACATAACAGTTAATGTGGTGAGTAGTGAAGATTTGCATGGTAGCTTTGGTCTTTGTGATCCTTTAATGATCCAGATATTTTCCAGATTGTCTCTTTATCATTTATTTGTGGTTGAAACTGGGTCAACAGTGCATCCTGGTTCTAGCCAGGTAGAGAAGGGAGAAATGACCACTATAGGGCAAGAGGTCAGTAAACATTTTCTGTAAATGTCAAGATAATAAATACTTTAGGCTTTTTAGACCCTAGGATCTCTGCTGCAACTACTCAAGTCGGGCATTATAGCACAAAAATAGTTTCCTTGGCATTAGACTATTTTGATTTCTATTTTGAAAATATTTTTAGGGGCATCTGGGTGGCTCAGTCAGTTAAGTGGCTGACTCTTGATTTCAGCTCAGGTCATGATCTCGCGGTTCATGAGTTTGAGCCCCGCATCAGGCTCTGTGCTGACAGTGTGGAGCCTGCTTGAGATTCTCTCTCTACTGTCTCTCTACCTCTCCCCCACTTGCTCTGTCTCTGTCTCCCTCAAAATAGATAAATAAACTTAAAAAAAAAAATACAAGGTGTTTTAATTACCAAGATGTTATTTCTGTGTTTTCTTTAATTAGGAGTATAATGGGTTAAGTCCTGATCTGTTCTGCATCATACTGTTTGCAAATATAATGAATTTAAGAATTGGAAAATTTAAAATAAATGCTATTACTGTCATTTGTAAAAGTTTATTAAATTCCACATCTTGAGCCATCAATTGGGGTAATAAAATAACAATTGTCTCTTTTCTATATTTACTGTTTAGGTTTTTTTGTCTTTTCTGGTCTCAGTTTTCATAGGTAATATTTGGTTTTCAAATTTATATGTATGGAGGTGAGCAAATAATCTCTGTAGTCCTTTTCTGTCTATGGTTATTTCCAAGTGATCATTTTTTATTTTTATAATTTTTCTGTTATTCCTCTTTAGTTTTCCCTAAGAATCAACTTGTGGATTATTTCTAATTCTGTTTGTAATGTTTAATTTTTCTTAACTCTAATTTTTTTTCTTATATTTACTTTTCCTTATTGTAATTCCTTGGTTTGAATGCTTATTTATTATGTTATTTCTTTTTGTTTTTTTAAACATTTATTTATTTACTTTGAGAGAGCCAAGCACACGCATGCAAATGAGGTAGAAGCAGAGAGAGAGAGAGGGAGAGAGAGAGAATCTCAAGCAGGCTCTTTGCAGTCACTGCAGAGCCTGATGCAGAGCTCAGTCTCATGAACTGTGGGATCATGACCTGAGCTGAAATCAAGAGGTGGTCGCTCAACAGACTGAACCACCCAAGCGCCCTATGTTTTTTTTTTTTTTTAGAATAATGTAAAAATTTATGTTAAAACCTATCCAAACATTTTTTCAAATATATTCTATAGGCTCTGATATACATTCTAAATTTTTCAGAATATATCTGAATGTTCTGCATTTTAATTTTCTGTTTGGCCAAAGTGTCTGTTCAAGCCGGTATATTTTGAAATTTACAAGTGAGGGATGCCTGGGTGGCTCAGTTAGTTAAGCGTCTGATACCAGCTCAGGTCATGATCTCACAGTTTGTGGGTTTGAGCTTGGTGTCAGGCTCTGTGCTGACAACTGGGAGCATGGAGCCTGCTTCAGATTCTGTCTCCCTCTCTCTCTCTGCCCCTACCCTACTTGTGCCCTGTCTCTCTTTCTCAAAAATAAACATTAAAAAATTTTTTTTAATTTGAAATTTACAAGTGAAAATTTCCTTTTTTCTAATGTAATTTTTAAAAAATATTTATTTTGAGAGACAGAAGTGAGAGAAAGTGCACATGCACGTGAGCAGGCGTAGGGCAGAAAGAGAGAGCTGAGAGAGAATCCCTAGTAGGCTCTGTGCTGTCAGTGCAAAGCTTGACGCAGGTCTGGATCTCATGAACTGTGAGATCACGACCTGAGCTGAAATCAAGAGTCAGTCACTTAACTGAGCCACCCAGGCACCCCTGTTTTAGATGTGTACCTTATATAGAGAGTTTATGTAGGTTTTATTATATCGTTGTTAAACCTTAGCATGTGTCAAAATCATCTGGAGGGCTTGTTAAATACAGATTGCTGGGCCTTACCTGCAGGTTTTCTTGATTCAGGAAATGAGTGTTGGAACCTGAGAATTATCTGTATAAGCCTGTCACAGTCTTTTTCTTTTAAAAGTACTTTTTATTTGAGTTGTATTTATTGACAGAAACAGTATGGTTAGTGTTTGTTCTTTTATTTAATATTATGTATTCTGTTTTATTTATTTAAAAAAAAACTTTTTTTAATGTTTTTATTTATTTCTAGGAGAGAGAGAGACAGCATGAGCAGAGGAGGGTCAGAGAGAGAGGGAGTGACAGACTCTGAAACAGGCTCCTGGCTCTGAGCTGGCAGTCAGCACAGGGCCCGACGCGGGGCTCGAGCCCACGAACCGCGAGATCATGACCTAAGCGAAAGTCGGACGCTTAACCGACTAAGCCACCCAGGCACCCCTATGTATTCTGTTTTAAATTTGACCTCATCTTTTTTA